AAACAGTTGACCCTCCTAAAACAAAGACCTCTAGATAGACTGACTAGATTCACCAGATGGACAAGTAGTGGTGAATGGCTGGGGTTGCCGACAACACAGCAGACAGTAGCAGGGATATCAGAGTATAAGGGCTCTAGTCAGGGGAGGGAGGCTATGGGAGGGTGCTATCTGGGAAGTGGGTATAAAAATAAATAAATAAAATAAATAAAATTAAAATTAAAAAATGTAATAATCATGAGTGCTAACCTTAAAGAAGTAAGGTTTTGACAAGAAAATATACAAGTGGAGTGTTAAACAATATATGATGTCTATCAGCATGATTTTAAAGCCTGCCTTTCTCTCTGTTTCACAAAGCCCAGTTCAACTGGATGACTTTGATTCCTACATCAAGGATATGGCCAAAGACTCTGACTATAAATTCTCTCTTCAATTTGAGGTGAGTGGAGTGAGGCAATTTTTCCCATGAGTGAAGTGCGGGAGTCATCAGGCTCACACTGGGGTCATTTCCCTGCTCACTGGGTGGAGCCTGGGGTATAGTTGCTACTAAGGCAAGGCAGTTTGTTGACCTCAGGCCTGCCTTAACTACCCGATCAGAGCAGGGGACCTCCACTCTTAGCTGGAAGGCCAGAGCCAAGAGGGCACACACACAGGGAACAAGACAGCAGGTACAAGTCAAAGATGAGCAAACAGGAATAGAAGAAGCCATCTTTAAAGTCAGGAAAGTCAAGAAGAGGGAAGATAAAAAGCAAACAGGCCTGGCATTAAGCTTTGCCTTCAGGTAAGTTCGTGTGTTCTTCAGGTAAAGTGAACCACAGTAAGTATGGAGGATGGACTAACCAGACTCCCTTTGTCTCCTGGGCATGTAACTACCAAATACAAAGCCCTCTAATATCACCTGTCTTGATAAATCCTGAATAGAACCTGTCTAGTTCTCCATCGCCTCCAGGTGCATAGAAATGATAGGTGTTACCCACAATATTATATCTCAAATAACAGAAATTCAATTTGAATTGGAGGAATACAGTAAGAATAGCATCTCGGAAAGCGTATCAATGGAAGGAAGATTTTTTTTGAAACAATAATAAGTCAAAACTTTGAAAAAATGAATACTTGAATGATTTTAATGATGAAGAAAGAAGCAATGATGTAACTCCATCTCCAACCTGTGTAAAAGCACATTTTCTTAATTCCTTGGAGATTAGATGCTGTTATTTGTTACATTTCTGTGGCTGTGATAAAATGCCCTGACCAAAAGCACATGAGGCAAGAAAGGGTTTGTTTTAGCTTACCTTTCCAGAGGGATGTAGTCCCTCATGTCTGGAAGGCAAGACAGCAGGGACATGAGACTGACCTGGCAACCAGGAAGCAGGGAGACCACATTACATCTCCACATAGGATGCAGAGCAAGAGAACAGGAAGTGGGGCACACTGTAAATCTCTAAGCCCACCCCAGCGATGTTCTTCCTACAGCAAAGTTCTGCCTCCTAAAGGGTCCATAACCCTCCCAAACAGCACCAACAACTGGGGACCAAGTGTTCAAATACATGTGCCTATGGGGGACGTTTCTCATCCAAACCAACACAGATGTTGTTGGTGGCACACCTAAGGATCACGACTTCTGCTGGGAGCTCGTAGTTTATGCCATCGAGCCAGAGTATTACTGTTTCTTCACTGCATCGTTATTTAAAAATTCAATGTCTTTTTCTAGTAAAAATAGTTCCTTAATTATGAGTGACAGAAATATAATTCAAGCTAAATTAAACCAAAGGAAAAGAGGGATTTATTGAAAGGATATTAAAGTGTCTCATATGGTCAGAGGAAGGGTTGGGTAGCTAAACTTTAGGTGGATGGGAAGCAACTGGTCTCAGGAGCGGCAGGAAGCTAGGGCCACCCTGATGGAATTCCTTCATCTCTCACTTCTGCTCTCTCCTCTGTCTTGTCTTGGTTTTCTCATACTGCAAAGCAAGTTCTTTTTCATGGTGGAAATACAGCTATCAACCTCCTCTCGGCATCACATTATTTTGTTTTCACAGTTCTGAAAGAGAGTTATTGACTTGTTCGTTTGTGATTTAAAAATTGACAGGGGGATTTTCACTACCCAATCTGGGTCATGGTGCCTATTCTACCAAAGAGGGCGGGGTCACATAAGCTCTTCATGAGCAAGCTACGGTGGTTAAATTAGCTAAAGCAAAAGAGAGCCATGTTCCTGGACAAGTAAAGGGGGCTGGTAGAGACGAACACTAAGCAATTTGCATACGAGCTTTAAATACCACAAAGATACAGAAAACAGAATGGTAAATTTTACATGTTAAATGTTCAATTAATCATGTGCTCAACTTTTCTATACTCAATGTATAAATGATCACATTTAAGTTTATTTCACAAGATTAATATTGATATTTATAGGATTTCTATTTGGCCACTAATCAATACCAGGGGAAGGGGACACACTTTTTCAAAAACACCAATTTCTTCACCTATAAAACAGATAGGTTGAACTAATTAGTTCTCAACTGAGAAAGACCCAGTCAGTACCCAAGAGGGAGTTTGGTAATCTGTGGGAGTTATTTTGATTGTCATAGTACCTGGGATAGAGAACACCAACTAGGATGTAACAGGAAAAGTCAAGGATATTAAATGTCCCTCAAGGAATACTACAGTAAGGAATTTTCCTAGGCCAATAGTGGTCCAGTGAAAAATATTGGACTTCTTGTAGAGCCAGGGTACAACCATCTATGTGTACTGGGGTTCTCCAGAAGCCCCAATGAGATGTGTGTATAGAACCAGCAGGACGTGGAGAAAAAAAAACAATTCCTTTTGCGGAACTGGCTTAGGGAAAATAGGAAGTCTGATGTCTTCAGGGAAGGCTGACTGACTAGAGAACCACAAAACAGTTGAAGTTGCAGTCCTGAGCCTGAAACAGAAGGGGGGCAGAATTACCCCCCTCCCCAGGGGAAGCGGCCTGCTCCCGTCATGCAGTCAGTTGACCGGATAAGGTTCACTCCGTGTGCTAATGATAATCTACTTTACAGAGTCTTCTGATTAAACACATTTGTCACCACATTTCAGCATCTTCAATGCAACCTCTGCTGTGTATTCAAGCAATTGTGCTCTATAACCTAGACAAACAACTCTGTAACCTAGCCAAACAACTCTATAGCCTAGCCAAGTTGACACATAATTGTAGCCATCATTCCATGATTTGAAGACATGTTTAAGACTTTTATTGTTATGAAGGTTTTTCTTACATCTTTATTCTTAGGACATTATTAGTCATATGGGTAGTAGCCTTGGTACCATCCTTACACTGTGCACGTGTTGAGTGGGAAGAATGCATTTATGCTTTTATATGCTTTTATGTCTTTTATATCACATGCTTAGGCTGCATGTTTTGGACTAACTTTCACTCACCCACAGGCCCACTGCTTATACTTGCCTTGTCCTTGACAGTCTCCAGGCATTGCCAAGTTTCCAACCTTCACCACCCGCCGCATCCTCAGACTGAGTGTCACGGTTTCTCTATTCACAGAGAAACATTGAGTTCCCATGCCAGATTTCTGGATGTATGCCTGACCTTTCACATAACAGTTCTCAGATTTCCCAGAATAGCTTGATAGTTACTGAAACTTAAGGGAGAAAACTGCTTCTGGCAGTAATAGGAACCCAACAAGGTATTGAGATGACTGAATCAGCTGGGTCTAGCTAAATGCAGTAGCCGAATAGGTATTTATTCTGTTCATTTGAACACTTATCCTACTGACATTCATTTTGATGCTGACATTGAAAAATCAAATCGGTATTGAGAAATTGCATCATTTATAAGCATTATGCAAATTGAAATTAATGTCTAGATTTACATATATTACCAATACAGCTATAAGTCATACATAAGGCTATATGAGTTACTAATTTGTATTCACTGAGTAAATTCCTTTTTCACTCTATCTGATTTGCGAACTATAGGAAAGATTGATTATTCTTCTGACAAAAATATACATCTTTCCTTAGGGAGGTCAGGGACCCAGGGATTAAGAAGACAGCCTCATTACTGATGTTTCCTGTGACAGAGCATTGAAAGAACCAGACTTCAGAGGCTGAAGTAGAAGCATTCATGAGACAGTCCACACATTCCTTGTTCTCTCATTAGTCTTTGGCCTTTGTGATTCAAAGGTCCTCACCATCTTTATTCAGAAACATGGATAGAAAAATCAAAATAAAACTACACAACTCACCATACTTCACACAAGAAATGATCATTATTTCTGATAACAACTTCATTTGTAGCCAGGTTTGCTTATATTTCAACCCAGTTCCTTTAGAAGTACCCACAGTCATTACTGAAGTAATCACCTCCAGTCTCTCCAGCAGTTTTTATAGAAGAGGTCTTTGCTCCAGACTTTTTTCTATCCTCTCATTCCTTCCCTCCACTGTGTTTAGCCTCTGTTCCTAGGAGCCTATCCTAGCACTGTGGCCTTCGTCTGAATTCTACGTTCAGGGCCCTGAAAGTTATTGTAGACTTCCCTATGGCATTTCTTTTTCATTGACCTTCCATTACTCACCCATGGGATTCCCATCAGTACTTTCTTTAAGGAACCTGTGATAGGTTGAATCATGTTCCACCTTCCAGATCTGATGAAGCCCAAACTTCTCCATACTGCAGAATGCAATGTCATTTTGAAATAGGATTGTGACAGGTAAAGCTAAGCAGTCATATTGAATTAGAACAAGTCCTTAATCCATGATGACAAGTAGAGATGAGAACAGAGGATTCCACATGATGGCAATAGCAGGGATTGGAGTACACAGGTGTAGATGAAAGCATGCCCTACCAGAAGCTAAGGAAAGCAGAGAACTCCCACACATGTGTCTCACAGGGGCATGGCCCTGCTGATAACTAGATTTCAGATTTCTTGCCTCTAGAGCCATGAAATAATAAATTTATTTAATGTTGCACCAACAAGTTTATGGCACTTTGTCCCAGAAGCCCCAGAAGACTCACACAGTGCCCACAAGACAGCTTGCTCTAAGTCTTTACTTCTCCTTTTCTGTTCATCTGAACACAACCAGGGGCTACAATTCCATTGCATCCTTTATTCACTACGGATGGGATCCCTGCTCTTTCCCCTCGCTTGTTCTGCCCCTGTGGACAGAACCGAGCTCATCTGCTTCTGAAGTCCAATTTGTTCCAAAGAAACACCCAGTACTGCCATCTGCTGGCACTATTACAAATTCTACGACTAGAACGCACCTGGTGCTCTTACCAGATGATGGCAGGCTGATTGACTGTGGTCTTCCCAAATTCTTACGTTGTAGCCCTGTCCTTAATGTGATAGTAATTGAGGATGAGGCCGTTTGCAGGTAATTAGGGTTAGACATGGTCCAGGAGGTGGGTCTTAGTCGTAGGATGAGTGCCTTTATGTTAAGAGCTTCTAGTGAGCTTTCCCTCCTCTCTCATTATTCATGTAGAGAAGACCTGGGAGTGTGCAATGAGCTGGCTGTGTACAAGCTAGAGAGACTCACAATGAAATAGTTTTTGTTGACACCTTGATTTGGGGTTTTGCCACCTCCATGACTATGAGAAATAATAAAATTCTTTGGCTAAAACCACCACTCTGTGGTATTTAGTTACAGTCCTCCACCCCCACCCCCCAGTTCGTGCTCTCTTTTGGGGGACTTGGATGCTTTGGCAGTAATCAACCCAATGTAGACTGCCACTGGAGTTGGTGACGGCATTAGATACCAGGACTTCGAAAGCAAATCTTTATGATGTTGTTGGCTTAAAAAACAACAGAATTGTATTCTCGCAGTTGTCAGAATCAGGAGCTGAAATCGGGGTGTCATCAGAACCACACTCCCCCTGAAGGCTCTGGTCTAGAATCCTTTACCTTGCTCAGTTTCTAGTGACTCTGAGCATTCTTTAACTAATAACCGGACCACTCCAGTCTCTGACTTTGTCCTTACCTGCCTTCTCCTCCCCAGGATAACCACGTGTTGTAATCGTTAGTGACTTATGTCTGCAAGAACCTTTCTTACTAAATAAGATCACAGTCACAGATTCTGGGGATTATAATATGGAAACAGCATTTTGGTGAACACTATTCAACCCACTAGCAATGACTACAAGAAATAAAACCAATATATGATTGATTATGTTAGAAGCAAAACCAGCAAAAGCAAATCCAAAAAATTAATTTATGTGATTTCATCCCGTCACCCCTATACATTTTCTTAATGAAGATTTAAGCCTCTGGTGTTTCCATATGGCTGGGAAGAAAATATCTGCAAAGCTACTGAACTGGAAATGTATTTGATTTTCCACTGAGTGACAAGCTAAATTACAAAGCGTGCAAAGCACATTGTGTGTGCATGCGGCCCCTGCTCCACTGCAGTTCAACTTGAGCAATTTACATTTACAATGTTCAGCCAATTAAATGGCTCTTATCAACTTAGGGCATTTACAGCAGGGGAGGCAGAGCATGATTACAGGTCGCTCCCTGAGTCGGCTTCCATGTGACCAACTCAGCCTAGGTCTGTTTCCAAGGTTTCTTTTGTATCTGAGGCCTTTCCGGTGGCTTTTTAGTCTGTTTCCAAATTGGGGAAACAAGAATAGGAGAGCTGTGGGTTTATGTGTACAAATGGCAAAGAAGGGAGAAATATAGAGTCAGGAAAAGCGAAAACAAGCATATAATCGTGAAGTGTTCCACAATCATTACCAATAGAGCAACATTCCTGTTTGTTGAGTTTAGTTATTCTATTTGGTAGTCACTGTAAACCAGAAAAGTATTGAGAAATTGTTAGCAGATAATTAACCTGAAATTGGAGAGATTTGAACCAGTTTGCAAGAATCTACAGTTTATAAGACGTACAGAAAACCAGAAAAATAACTGAGGTCTTTTGACAAACCATAAAGACTTTCTAAAGAAGGTTCATTTCTAAAATATTTTTGCAGTTATTTCAATAAGCTTATGATTACCCAAAGTAACTAACCTTGAAAAATGTTGATTTGGGTTTTTTTCTAAAAATAAATAAATTTTGTTTATTGTAAGAGCAATACAGTGAGCTCTGTTGGAAACTCTTTCAATGGGAAACTTGTAATAGTGGACAGTTTTCTGCTTAAAGACATGGGATGCATAGGTTTTTGTCTAAAGTGGAAAAAAAATGGAAATTTTGCCTTGAGAATCTGACTTGCCAGATTGTCTTAAAGAATGACTTCCACTTACTTAAAAAGCTTAAGATTCTGTAATCTTGAGAAGCCCAAAATGACGAGAAATCAGAGAGAAAGAGAAGCCTGGCCATCGAGGCTATTACATCCATGTTGACTTTGGATACACAAGCCAAAGTTGGTGAGGACTGGGTAGCTGCTAGTCAGCACCTTCCCTTTGAAAAAGGCAGAAAACCCAGAGCTTGATTTCTGACCATGTGTTTTGCCAACAGCATGTGAACTGGGATGCAAAGAATGAAAAGATAGCCCTCTGCAGTCTCTCAGAATATCATAAAATGTCTCTTCCTTTAAATCTTTAAAGACTCCAAAATTCTTACTTCACGGTAATCCTCCAGTTTATGGTTCCTTAAAGCAACAACAGAGAGGCAAATCAAAGTGTAAAACCTGTGTGAACCTTCCGGGCTAGGAACATTTACCAGTGGATAAAGTACTTACCACACAAGCATGCCAGAGTGCAGATCCCAGCGTCGGCATAAAAGCCATCCAGGTTTGATGGCCTGCCTGTAATTCTAGCACTCAGTACGTGGAGACAGGAGCCCCAGGACAAGCTGGCTAACTAGACCAGCCAAAGGTTGAGAGACCTTGCCTCAGTAAATGAAGGAGAGCAATTGAGGAACACAGCCAATGGCAACCTCTGGCCAAGTGTACGTGCATGAACCCACACACATATATGCCCACACACATGCTAACACACATACATGCAAACCATACACCCACACATATGCAAAAGATATTAAACCCTCTAAATGTAAGCAAATGTATTGCAAGGGGTTTCTCCCACCGTCTCAATATCCTTGTAGAAAGTTACACAGGATGTAAGTAAAGACATGTAAAGATGGTTAAAAGTACTGTTTACTAATAGTTCCTTAAAATTTGCATCAGGAGGGCTGGAGAGATGGCTCTGCAGTTAAGAGCACTTAGTGCTCTTCTGGAGAACCTAAGTTTGGTTCCCAGCACTCCCATTAGGCAGCTCACAACTGCTTGTAACTGAAGTGCCATGGGATCTAACGCCCTCTTCTGGCCTCTATGGGCACTGCACTCATGTGGTATTCACTCATACAGATACATACATGCAAAATAAATCATATATATATATATATGTAACTAGATCTACTGCTTTGGCTACACTCTGTGCAAAAACTGAAACTGCCATTTAAATAGGCCATAATGTGAACAATGCTCCCAAGACATCTAGTTGGTTTGAAACTATACAAATGCCTCATTTTCTGTAAGACACAGGGATAAACAGCTAAAATCTCCTTTTCCAGTCATAGAACCTTTTTTGAATTGTACTAGTTATCTGTTTACATGGAAACTATCTTACCACCACCTCTTCTGGTAGGACATACAGACTACCAATAGGTCAGTATGGATGTGTGGATGTTCTTGCTTCCACTGAAGGGCTTGGCTCAACACTCCTTATTCATCTTTAATTTTCAGGTTTCATCTCTAGCTATTTAGTGGCTGTTAATCCTCTACATTGTAATGTGATTTTGCTTCCTGCCCATTTCTCCTCACTCTCATTTTTACTCTTCCTTCAAGGCTCATTGATTACAAGGAAAAATATATCTGCATTTCCTCATAGAACAAGAAAGGTTTATGAGAACGACTTACATTTCAGTTACTCTTCATCCACAAACCTGAAAAGTGTTTTTATTTTCAAGCCTTATGCAGCCTGTCTCCCATATAGATCTTGCTTCTCCAAATGATTTGTAAGAGGTTCAAGGGTAGATACATCATACTGGACAGCTCTTCACTGCAATCACACTAAGAAACAACCTCAAAGTCAGAGTGCCTGCAATGTTCATTTTTCTCTCAGAGGTGTGAGGGTCACCTGGGGCAGTCCCACTTCAGGCCACATGTGGGTCAGGATCAGGTTGTTGCCTGTACTGAAACTAGAAGCTTTCCTAGGCATATACTTTTCCTAGCAGATAGAAGAAGACAAGAGGAAAAGCCACACTAAGCCAAGACATACTGAGATTGATTTGGCACAAGTGCCACCAAAGTTCATTGGCCAAAGCAGGCTGACAGCGACCAAGTGGAGAAGTATATTCTTCTCTTAAAAAGAGCTGCCCCAGTGTCATGCAGCCAGGGGCGTGTTGTAATTCTTCCAGGCATAGAATCCAGGGTGAACAGTTAAGTCCATCCAATTCATACTGTATAGGAATCTCAAAGCTATTCTCTCTTGTTTACAGGAGTTGAAATTGATTGGACTGGATATCCCACACTTTGCTGCTGATCTTCCATTGAACCGATGTAAAAACCGCTACACAAACATCCTGCCATGTAAGATGGTCAACAGTTCTGAGCTCAGTCATAACTTCTAAAGGTCAAAGCGCTGCTGTTGCACCTTAATGAGTTTTTCCATTTTCCAGCCAAATCCAGGTGTGGTCTGTGTCTCAAGGCTGTCTCTGCCATTACCTGGACCTAACTAGTGCACTGATCTTATTGGATGGAGGAAGATTCCATTATGTTGCTTTCAAATAAATTGCATCTGGCCAGAAGAGAATAGTTATTTGACCCTTTGGGGACCAAAGGAGCTTAGCCAAATTTGAAATCAAATAGTTTGTGCTCTAGTGAAATTCTTTCTGTCAATGCATTGACAGTGGAAGGGACCAATGTAGAGACAGTGGATCATATTAAAATGCCTTCCTCTTCTAACTTTTAGCAAGTTATGCTGTTGCTTAGCATTCTGCAATAAAAATAAACATTTAAAGAGGCATAAACCAGGGCACGACAATTAGACTGCATTGTAGAGTAGATGGAACTTTTGAACCTGCAACCTTCTAAGTGGGCAGCAAAAGAATGAGAAAGTGAGAAGAAAAGCAAAAAAGTTCTAGAAAGGCAACTCTATTATTCATATGGTTTTTGTTCTTTAATAAGATTTGATGAAAATCTCTAAATTAAATTCAGTTAAGTTAGGAGTCAACTAAATATCATCATGTGAAAGCCAATGCATACATTTGGATAGTTTAGAAACATCATTTTTAAATTTTTTTATTGCGCTTTTAAAATTTTATACAATATTTCGCACTCACATCCAGACCCCCTCCCATGCCTCCCCCTATCCTCGCACTGAACCCTATGCCCTCTGCCGTACATGCAGTGTCCTATTCATTCAGGCAGAAACACCATTTTCTAAAACGTTATTTTATTGGGAAAATTTCTAAGCATAGATGATATCAATCCTATATTTATACCAAGAAATTGATTATTGGTATTTACACACACACACACACACACACACACACACACACACACACACCACACTTTCACTCATGGGTCAAGGAAATTATCTTGAAAATGTTCAATACATGAGCCTACACCGTGATAACGCTGTATATGTTAAAGGCTGTTAGTAAGGGGCTGGAGAGATGCCTTAGGGGTTAAGAGCACTGACTGCTCTTGCAGAGGGCCCGGGTTCAGTTCCCAGCACCCACATGGTGACTAACAACCTTCTGTCACTCCATTTCCAGTAGATCTGACATGCATTTCTGGGCTCCGTGGGCACTGTAGGTACATGGTACACTTACATATATGCAAGCAAAACACTCATACACATAAAATTTAAGCAAAACTGTAGGTATGAACAAAAGCAACATTCATTAGTAGGTTTATAATCTTAACTGATTTTTGTCGGGAAGATAAATATTAGTGATCAAATCCTCTCATATAAGAAGTTAGCCTTAAAAGGAAGGAAGGAGGTTAACAGGAAGGAAGAAGGAAAAAGGAGAGTGAGGGGGGTAATGTAATTAAAATATATGGTATACTTGAAATTTTCTTTATGAAACTCAACACCATGTATAGTGACTACAAACCAGAAAAAGAAAAGTCTTTTTAAAAAGTAAGCAATGTAACTCAGAAGAAGCTAAAGAAAAAGAATAAGGCTTACAAATAACCAAGATAGAAAGCCAAAATCAAAGAGGTCTACGGTGAGAATGTAATATGTGAAACAGACAAGAATAGTAGTTGGGAGATGGGGAGCTATATGCTGAGGGTGACAGAACTTTAGTTTGGTAGAGATGAACAAGTCTAGGGTCTTGACACACTACAAAGTCTGTAGTTGATAATATTGTATGGCACAAAATTTTCTAATAGAGCAGGTTTTATATACTTTTACCTCAAAAGAGTAACTATGTGAGATGGTAGCTATGCTAACTTGCTTGACTCCAGTAGTCATTTCTACACACACACACACACACACACACACACACACACACACACACACATACACACACACATACTTTGTATATCTTAAACACTGAGTTCCAAGTCTAGCACCAAAACAATTCAACCAGTAAGTATAATAATAATGGGGCGTGGGGGAGGTGTTGAGGCAAGCCCTCACTATGTAGCCCTGGCTCTCCTGGAGAGAGCTATGTAGACCAGGCTGGCCTCAATCTCACAGAGACTCGCCTGCCTCTATGTTCCAAGTGCTGGGATTAAAGGCATGTGCTACCACACCTGGCTAGAATAATAATTTTTAAAAGGCCTATGCATCTTCTTTTCTCTAGGTAACTTAGTGAGTTTTCTGGGTGTCACTAGGTAAGATAGGGATCATATGTTTAAGCTACATGCCATATATCTCCGTGCTATCACCCAGATATTTTAGTTCCTGTCAGTATGCTGCACAGCCTCTGAAATGCCTGCAGATGATTGCTTCAAGGCCAGAAGTGCTGGGTTGAAAAAGTGACTGGAGGATGATCAAGTGATCATTTAAACAGGAAAGTAAGACTGAGGACTCAAGTAGCGGACTGCAGTAGATTACCTGCTCTATTGCTGCCTGATTTGACTTGATATGGTATGAAGAGGGTCAAGGTCATTTTTCCAACCATCCTGATTTTTTAATATGTCTTTTCATCTTATTCTCTTCAGATGACTTCAGCAGAGTGAGACTACTCTCTATGAATGAAGAAGAAGGAGCAGACTACATTAATGCCAACTATATTCCTGTGAGTAGAAACAAATCAGGCATCCGAATGCTCAAAACTCCAGTCACTGGAAGATCATTGAAGCTGTGTGGATGTGTGAAATAAT